TCTTCCTTCTTGTCTGTTCTGTCATTCATGGGAAATAAACTGTCCTCTTACTGTTTCTGTATGGAAAAGTTGCCTTGGGTATTTCCCAGGAACACTTTTCTCAATAGTTGAAAATTTATTGTTTTCTAGAATAGCTCATTTTGCTTCTAAGACTGAATTCTAAAATGTGTCTCTCCTAGTATTGACTATCTCCTATTTTTCAATAATTATGAAAAGTGTTGTCTAGTGACATGAAATGAAATGTCTAGTTCTCATATTGAATATAAACAGAGTCTCCTTATTTGAATCATATATATATATATATATATATTTTAAATATTCTTAAAGCTACTTTTTAGAGTTGTAGTGTGACTTCTGTGGCTTTATTGGTTTCTAGTAAACTGGCCAGAACCTAATGTGATCATTTGATTGCCTGTTACAATTTCAGAGGGCTTGTGAGTATTTGGGAGATAAAACAAAATTGTAAGTAAAAGCTAGTGCAGAGTTACATTCTTAAAAAAAAATTCAAACACATTTTTTCTTATTTAGGTGATAATTTTGGCTTCCTAGATAGAAATCGGTATACCCATTATAGAAATAAATTATCACCATTCTAGTCCCTCTTGTTGTTCTTAAGTGCCATGGAGTCAGTTCAACTAACAGCAACCCTGTATAGGGTTTCTAAGGAGGAGCAGCTGGTGAATTTGAATTGCTACCTTGCTGTTCAAACCAACCTTGCAATATCCCAGAGTACCGTGTTATTGATGATTGATGTATTGATTATTAATGGTTAGTTGTTATGATTTTGATGCATCTATTCCACAATAAAATGATACTACATTTTAATGAAACAACTGAAGGTTAATTTCCAGTGTATGAAACCTGGTGATCTTGAACCGCCAACCTTGCAGCTCATACTTATCCCGAAGACCAGCACATTGACCCACAGCACCACATCAGGACTCTAGTCCCTCTTCTTAGATATAAAAATCAGTCACTATTTTTTTTTAAGAGGAAACATATATTTAATATGTGCATTGTAAAATTTTGGAATCCCATACTTCTTTTTTCACTTCTACATACACTTAATTAGAAAAATGTTATAATATTGTTAAGCGTTCATAGAAATCATCTACTCTAAGTCTTTCATTTTGGAATTCAACAATTTTGATAGTAATAACATAAATACCTCTATAGACAATATTTAGTTTGAAAAGGAAATGAATGATGGTAGTCAGTCAAAGTTTCTCATGATTCCTTCCCAATTCCATTAACCTCCTTCCCAGAAGCAGTAACCTAAATTTGATGCTTATCATTATGATGTACGTTAATATACTTTTGCTACATATGCATGCACTCATAAATACTTCATATGATTATTTTGCCTGTGCTTAAACTTTATATACACGTGGTATTATCCCATGGGCATCTTCCAGCAATTTATGTTATTGTTGCATCACATTATATTTCTGAGATTCATCCATGCTAACTCAAATAGTTCTGGTGCATTCATTTTTCTTTTTACTGTTTCTAATACAGTTATATGTCACTTAATGTTCATGATAAACTTTGTTAAATAAGACATTATGTGATTCGGACTGTGGCACACATGTGTCCTGGGAAGCAGGGGAATTTAGCTGAAGTGAGGAGGGCAGGGGAGGTAGGGGGTTTCTAGCACATTGGTAATAACTTGTGGTGGGCCAGGCAATACTACCCACCCCCCAAGTCCTCCAACCCTGCAGAGGTCTTAGGTGAATGCTTTACCAGTGTCATCCAGCTATTGCCATCTTCTCTTAACCAGGGTTAAGAGTTTGGATGTGGGTCTCCATTGCCACAGACTGGTGACTTCTGAGTCATGTGGGAAGGAGTGATGCTCCAACTTCAAGACCAGGGTCTCGCATCCTGGCAATTAGACACCTGGGTGTTTATTTTGTTCTTTCAAGTAGCTCCACAATGATAATTTTATATACATGTGTCTTTACCTAGATGTGAAAATTTCCTGAGGGGTGGAGCTATTTGATTTAGGATATAAACAGTAGAACAACAGTTAAAGCATGTCCTGCTAACCAAACGATAGGCAATTTGAATTCACCCAGTGTTCTTCAGGAAGAAGAAGAAAAAAAAAAATGAGATTGACTTCCATAAAAATTACAGCCAAGAAAACCCTAAGGGGAAATTCTACTCTATTACATGGGATTTCCATGAGTCAAAATAGACTCCAGGACTCCCAGAAACACCACCACCATCTTCAACTATTGCTAAACTGCTCTCTGAAGTTGTGCTATTGTGTACTCTCCATATTTTCTTCAGTTACTGAATTTACAAAGTTTTGCCTGTTTGCTACATGTGACATGAAATCACATTTCAACTTGCATTTCTTTAATAATTAGAGTTATTATCTTTTTCAGATATTTATTGTACATTGAGAATCTTCTTCTTTCAATTCCTTCATGTCTTTTGCACATTCTTTTTCTACCACACTTTTAAAGAAATTAAAAAAAAATCTTTATGCATTTTGAAACTAATTTCTTCTTTGGTTACTTGCATTGCAAATAACTTCTCTCCGTCTTAGGCTTGACCTTTCTGATACACTTTAATACGTCAAATTTAATATTTTTCTTTGTTTACACTTAATTTAAAAAAATATATTTTTTTCTTTGTTTACGCTTAATACTAAAAAAAAAAAAAGAAAAAGAAAAAGAAAAAAACACCATCTCTTCCCCAAATCATGAAACAATTTCTTTAGGTCTTAGCTTCTCTTAAATACATATTTAGTTGTGATGTGAATTTGGAAGCTAGTATGACTTTTATATGACTAAACTATTGCTAATATGGTATCTATTCATGTGGTTTTCTGGGTTTTTCCTTGTATTTATCACATCTCCATAAAAGCATGCCTAAATTTCTGGACTCCATGTCTTATTCTATTGGATTATTTTCTATCCCTGAACCAAAGCTATACTGCTTTCAATTACTATTATTTTATAATATAATAAATCTTAGTAGCTATAGGGAAACTCTGTTTGCCCTGTTATTCAAGATTGTCTTAACCCATTGACCCTTTGCTCTTACAAATATTATTTTAAAACTAGTTTTCCGAGTTTCATGAAAAAATGTACTAGGATTTAAATGATAATGAATTTTATAAATCAATTTACATTATTGAGTTTTGGCATCCAGGAATTTGGCATCCATTTATATTGATTTGTCCTTAATTTTAATAGAAAAAATTCATGATGGGTAAAAAGTGAATGTTTGAAGTCATAGCCAATCAACAGCCAAACCTTTGACAGAAGGTTCAATAGTTCTGACACTAAAACGTCTTAATATTTAACGAAAGAATGATAATCTTAGAATTCTTGTAGTTGTAGTAACCACCAGCATGAGAACATGCCTAACTTTCCTAGTTTCCTAGGTCCTTAATAAAGTATCTCATTAGACAGAATCTAAGTCTTCCCTGGACCTATGCGATCAGAATCTGCATTTAAAAATGAGATTCTAAGATGATTGGCATATTATAATTTGAGAAGTACTGCTTAGCACAACTAAGTCCTGAAATTCATTGCATTGAGTCTTTTTCTGTGAAACCTATAAAAACTTGCTGTTGGTAATGTTGAGGTCATTGAATCCAAAGGATTCATGTAAGCAGCTTGCAGGCCTATGCTCTGGTTATGACTGTCTTGCTCTTTAATCACAGGCCCACAAGCCTACTTTCCTGAATGAGCATCAGAAGTCTAAAATGAGAATATTGTTGTTGTCAAGTGCCGTCGAGTCGATTCCGACCCATAGCGACCCTGTACAGGGTTTCCAAGGAGTAGTTGGTGAGCTTGAACCACCAACCTTGCAGTTCAAATGGCTTTGCAGTCTGGCGCATTAAGCCACAGTGCCACACCAGGACTCCAAAATGAGAATAGATCGTCTGAAAATATATGTAACTATAATATATTCTTTTGGAGTTCTGGTGTGGTGCTGTGTGTCAATGCGCTGGACTGCAAAGTCGTTTCGGATCGCAAGGTTGGCGGTTCAAGCTCACCAGATGCTCATGGAAGTCTTATTTATACAGGATCTCTCTAGGTCAGAACCCACTCGATGGTACTTACCACCAACAACAATATTGCTTTAGGACTTCCGGTGTGGCGCTGTAGGATAAGCACTGGTTGGTGGTTCAATCTCACCAGCTGCTCCCTGGAAACGCTATACAGTGTCACTATGAGTTGGAACCGACTTGAAGTCACTTAACAACAATATATTCCTTTAAAGGGTGCAACATGTTAAGGCTTTTTTTGTTTTGCTTAATTTTTTTCTGCTAAAGGCACATCTCATGAAGACTGAGGTTTCTTTTGATGTCTACGGTTGCTTAGGAAGCAAATATATTTGCTTTGAAATCATTGTGCTGCCCTCAAATTGGCGTTTTAGCTACTAAATGCCACTAGGGAAAATTCTAAAGAAAAGAAGATGGAATACTGAGAAGAGAGAATCACAGAAGATACAGTCTTTAAGAAGTAAAACAAAAGATCAGACGATTTATTCAAGCAGTCATATAGTATTCATGTTAATCTCAATTCAGCCTTCTTGTTTTAACTACTACAGCACCCATTTATGGAGGGGGGCAGAGGGGGGAAGGTGAGGAGAGAGGATGAAAAAAAAAAAAAGTGAGAGCCCTGCAATATCACCTCTAGCCACTAGGGGTATCTTTGTACCATTTTTCATCCTGCACCGATTTGGAGTAGAAACCTATATTAGGGGAAAAGCAGGGTCCTCGGCATTTTTTTGCGAGCAGTGCGCCTAGAATCCAAAAAAGATTTTTAAAAAGAAAGAACGAAAGAAAGACCACAGTTCTTTTGGTCACTCGGACAGGACTGCGAAATCGCCCACTGGACAACAGCGCTGGGAATTTATTTTTGAGGTCAATTTCCAATGGAGATAAATCTATTGGATTAGTAGGATTATCTGATTGCATCTGAAAGAAGTAACGTTTGATCATTTGTATTTCTTAGCCTTATCGTTGGATTTACATGGAGGTGGCTTTGGGTCCTAAGGATACTGGATCGTGGTTGCATCTGGAAACCAAGAAGGATCAATCGACACGATTTGGAAGTGTCCGTGGGTGAATAAAAAAAAAAAGGGGGGGGGGTGTAAAACTGGGGTTGCGGCTGCTTAAAGAAAAAAAAAAAGCATCTTGAAGCCTTGAACAAGAATTATCGGGTATTGGAGATTGCAAAAAAGCGTCTAGAAACTGGTAAATACTTTGACGATTTCAGCTTGAATTTGAAGGCGAAGTGTAGAAAACTGTCTCCTTGAATTGTTGGAAGGGGACCGGGGAAAGATGAGGGGGCTCCCTCGGTGGATTTATCTTACAGAGGGTAAGTTTGTGGCTCTCTTATGTGGGAGGGGGCTGCCTGGATTTCTGTGCCACTGCGTGGAAGGTGATGCGACGCGGTGCCTGTGAAATGGGGGGGGGGGTAGTGTTACTGTAAAACCACCTCGCGCATAGCCGGGTGGATCGCTAGGGAGATACCTAAATCCAGCTTTAAAAAAATCCTTATTTGTGGCGTCGACAGGGAAGCCAAGCAGGTTTCCAAGCTCTCAACTTTGCATTGAAAATCTCTCGGTTGGGAGATCCCTTTGGGTCCAGTGGCTTTTCCTAATCTACTTTGAGGAGAGGAGGCAGCGATGCCTGTGGGGAGGGAAAAACCTAAGTAGAAATTGAGGCTGCTTCAGCCGCCTTTTCGGAGGCGCCTGTCTTGGCTTCTAGGGGAATTTTGCAAGGGGGGAGTGGGGGGGACAGGCCACTTTTGTATTGTCTGTGGTTTTCCCTCCCTCTCTCTCTCTCTCCCAGCCCCCTCCCACCATCTCCTCTTATTTGAACTCTAATGGGTTACAGGGTCACTGCATCACATAGTCAGTAGAAGTGAGTGACTGACCACACGCATTGTCGTACAAGCACTATCAGGACTTTCCATATACAGTCCCTGGTAACTTTCTTCGAGTTGATGAGTCCAAGGCGACGTTGCAGCCTTTTTGCTGAGGCCCCAAGCTGGTGAGTGCGCCAGGCAGCCGGCTGCATTTCTGATGCATCCTGCCCTGACTGCCTCGCCACTCGCAGGCTTTTCTTTCAGGATGAGCGGTGTGCGCGTTCCCAGACATTTTCTTGCGGCTGAATTCAGGGAAATTGCTTTTCTTTCAAATTAAAAAGAAAAAAAAAATGTAACTCTCAAGTTAGGCTCATCCTTATTTGCAGAAGGAAAACGAGTTTCAGCAGATATAGAGAAAATCACTCAAATGAGTGAATATTAATTGACTTTGAAAACTAAAAGTTGCTTTGAAATCCTGAAAAACCTATTATTCTGAAACAATTTTGGCGTCCAGAAGGCTTAGGAATCATTACACATGAATAATTGATTTATTTAAGTGATGTACACAGATGTTCCAGTCTTGTGTTAAATAGGTTAAGGAGAGTCCCTCTTTTTTCTTCTGACACCTCAGTATCAAAATTTTAGTTGGCTTTTT